ACAGTTCTATATCTCCCGTTCTACTTTGCTGATTGACAAAATTCAAATTGCGTTTTTCATGTTTAGGATATATAGTAGCTTTATATATAGCATTGTTCTAACATAGGTATTTTGACACAAAATCAGACTTTTTCTGAAATAACATACCAATTTGTTTCCATATTTCGATTCTGTGACTCAAATTATGCAAAACTGCCAAGTTTTGTAAAAGCACCATAATTTAAAAAAGTTCAAATTTCGTTCTCAATGAATGAATTTGAATATATTTATTAATTCTCTTTTTATAAATTATTAATTCTCCTTAATTTCGAAATTTGATTCATTCCAATAAAATGCGGCCATTTTTATGATTACTTTATTGTATTTTTAAATATTTTTTATAAATTTCGAAAACAATTTGGAATATACCTATAAACATTTTCCACCTCTTAAGTAGATGCAATTTAAGCATACTTGCAAAAAATTAGAGATTTTTATCAAAATTTCTTAAGATACGTGAATTTAATTTTTGGGGCGCGATTTGAAATTTGGCGTATTTATTATAAGCGATAATAACGAAAATGTGTTACTACTTGTTAAAATTATTTGAACTATGACGAGACTGTTTCCGCGGTGACAAAGAAAAGGGGGAAAAATTGGTTGTTATAAATTAAAAGTTCGCCAAGTGAATTTTCTTGGCGCAAACTGAAAACCATTCGCCAAGATAAATTTTTAAATTTCTCACCAAAAGTTACAAATTTAATATGTAGGCATAATCTTAGTCGTAGAATCAAAATCTGGAAAAATTTTGGTATGTTGGTTAAAAAAAAAATCCGGTTTTTGTGTCAAAATACTTATGTTAGAACAATGCTCTATATAATTGTAATATATATCCTAAGTCGCGCTTTCGAGACATGGAAAACGCAGTTTGAATTTTGTCAATAGGCCCAGTACAACGGGAGCTATAGAACTGTCCTATTCTTTTATTTTCGCAGTGTATCTTAGTTATGATAAGACTGGTTAAATGAAGCCAGTCATGAAATTTATAGACCCATCATGTGTTCTATTAGCCTTTTTCATAACATTTGAAACATAAAACATGTTTATCAAATTTTTCAAAGTCTTTGTGAAAGTAATATTTATTATTTACATATGTGGGAGTCCTCTGATAATGCATGTCTAGAATTGTAGTACCGCTACAGAGAAAATGTTAGAAATTTTTAAATACATTTTTTTCTAAATAAATGCTAAATACATTTCAATGCCTTTCGAGCAAGATTTGTAATTAAACGTAACACTGAATAAGCGTAAAAATTATTACGTTAAACTTTATTAAGCATGTAGAGACATTAGGATTGTTAATGCTGAGAGAGAGAAAGAATGAGGAATGCCCTCGGCGGAACTCGAACCACCGACGTCTCGAATACGCGTCGACCTTGCTGACCATTACACTAGGAAAGCATGCTAACAAGGCGGGAGAAATTAGAATTATTATAACAAAAATGTAAGCTATTTTTTCAGAGCAACAGTCAATATTTCTATATGAAAGTCGCTATATGAAATAAAACACTGGTGGGTCACCGTGCTGCAGGGGACATTTCACCCGATGATCTGCACAAATTTACTCGAGCTATCTTTGTGAATTATGTAGTAAGAAGTAATTAGTATTTTCTCATACATTTAATTCGTTTTGCAGATAATTTTTATATGCAGATCGGTATGTTGTTGTTGTTGTTGTTACTTACTTCACTTGTCTGACAGCAGCATCAGAACAAGCCCACAAAATTCATCGTGGCAAGGAGTGCAATATTGCGCCTGTCATTAGCGAGAGCCTTGAGCAGAATACAGGTGACATTACGACTTTACTCAGTTCCGCCCCGAAATGGTGGACAGCATCACGGGGTCCCACCCCTTTCCCCTACCCTCAATCTCTCCAGAGGACTTTCGGATTCCCGTATATTTAGAATGTCTGGTGCCGTACAGATACTACACCTTTATAGACATCCGCTACTTCTCCGAGATCTGAACCCGGGTCCTTCGTTACGGCAGTCAGAATCACTATCTACTATCCCGGTTGGAGGTCAGATAGATATTTATTAGTTTATATGCACGCACCCTAAATTACTTCATAAACACAAATTTCACCGGAACTCTGGGTCTTTATATAAACGTTTAGATGAAAAACCAGATTTTCAGGTACAGTGAAATCTCGGTTGACGAACTTAAACTCATACCTAAAAGCCATTAATTTACTGAAATGCTCATAAACCAAAAGAATTTTCGGCATAGGAATTAATGTAAAATGAATTAATTCTTGCCTGAATTATAGATGGTTGCTTATTTGAAACTTCGCATCAGTGTTTTGCGCACAGGTTTAAGATGAAATACTCTGAAACGTAATTTAATTTTACAGTACCTGTACAAAGAAAACGGTCATAAGTGAGAAATGATGAGAAAGATTTTATTGTTTCAAAATTCCTTTCCATAACATCGTGTAAATGACTTTAAAAGGTGTCTTCTTTAATGTTTTCTTTCACTCTAAACGCCACTCGATTCTTCTTGAGGCTCAGTGGGAACTAGTTTCACTCAAATGTTTTGTGATTTGATTTACAGTTACCTATGTTTTAAAATATTTCTAAAATAGGAAATGGCATAGAAATTGAAAATTCTTTTGCTGTAGCATCTTATTGCATTATCAGGATAATGTCGTTACGTGTAATCTCTCCATCTTTTTCAAATTTGAACAAATTTCGCGAGTCAGCGAAATTAGTTCGTGAAATAGAAGTTCACACTGGCTTCATTTTCGTTGCATTTTAACGACTTCTTTAATTGTCGTGCAGGCGAGCCCAAAAGTAAATTTAGATAAAATATTGTAAGTAATTTTCGCTTTTTATACTGCATGCGGTCTTGGGATAACTGTTAGTACGCTGGCTGTCATTCGGAAGATTACAAGCTTGAATCCTGGGAAAATATAGTTTATTTTTCACGTTTACTGCTTCGAAAATACTAATAGCCTCTACAAAATTTCTTTTAATAACATAAAATGAATGTAATGGTTTGATAGTGCAATGAATGTCCGACGTACACGATTCCAAACATTTTCCAGCATAAACTTACTTCTTTATTAAAATATTTTTTTAAAAAAATTTAGTGATGCATATGGCAGAATGAATGCAATTAAGTTTTTGAACAAAATATGAATTCCATTTCATGAAGAGCTTACTTTGAAATTCATCTTATGAGGAAATATATTACGTTTTGAAAATAGAAATATCAAATTGTTAAAATTATTACTTTGCTGGATGGTCCAAATTCTTCAGAAGCCTCTGTTGGAAGTTTCAAGCTTGCGTAGCTTTCAAGACAGAAAGAGTTAACTTTGAAAATATTAACTCTTTGCATCTAGTTGGTGGAACTGTAAGCTGATGTTTAAGCATTACAATCTAAATATGGATATTTATTAGCACTTCTTTTATAATCATAACCATGTGTTTAGCCGCACTTACGAATAGCTGAAAGCTTTTCTATAAACTCGAGATCCAGTTTGATTTATGTGTCATGAATCTGCAACTGTATTGTATTATCTTAAAACTGCGTATTAGTTTTGTGACGGTGGCAGATGAAATAAAAATTGCTTTTAGACAAGTTGTTCCTTAACAGCTATAAGTAAATGATATCTCAAATATATTTATAAGTTTCATTACTTGCAGTTTGAGTATTTAACGTTTACCGCACAGTAGTGGTGACAAAATAGTTTAACCGTAATTCCAATATTAATACAGCGAATGGCGCAGTTTAATGTAGTTTTGGTCCTTTTGGTATTTTCTCAAACTCATGATCCGCTTTGGGTATATAAAGAATGGGTCTGCATTGTAACGCACTCAACAAAAATCCTACTGATCGTTTTATTAAAGGTATCTTCACTCCATAGTTATAAGTTTGTTAAAGCGCTTTTAAAACTTTATCTGTGTATCTTAACATTAGTTTTGTTTTCCTAGTATTTACATTCTACCTAAATTAGTAAATTGAATCTTATGTTTTTTTTTAATATTGTCAAACTTTGATACTAGTTCATGGCATACTTCGCTGTCAGAGTCAACTAAAGAAAGGTATTCATACCTCCACGTCATTCGATAATGCAATTTTAGGGCCATTTCGAAATGGCAGAACGTTTAATACCAAATACTGAAGACTGTATATCGGAGAACCACACACCTAATGTAAAATAAAGGGAAGTAAAACATTGCCTGTAGCTTATATTTTAAATGAACACTTTGACATCTTCAGGAACATCAACATTTTAAAACTTGTTTTTGCTTTTAAAGAAGAAGGACATTAATTAGATATTCCTCTATTCAGCACTCCGAGGCTGTGCGTTTGCTGAATTTAATCAAATATATTAACATCTTTTACCGAAGTTCTGAAATCCCTTAAATTTAAATATACATGGCCGTTCTTGAGCGGGAATTAAATTATTATGTTCCCCCTATTAATTTTTATAATCAGTATCTGTAAGTATACAATTGCATGAATTTTCAAATTAATTATTGACGGTATAATGTTCATATTTTTTAAATTGCATGATATAATATTATTGTCATAGATTACCGAATAATTGTTTTATAAATTAAATTTACATTTTATTATAATTTTTTATATTTCGGCCTACACCACTAAGTGTAAATTCGCATTTAAAATTCGTACTCGTGTAAATTATGAAGTGCGTCTACTATATGTAGCGAGACGGAAGCGAGTTTGAAGTAATACATTTTCCTGCACAAAACTGCTTTAAACTTTAATTTGTCCTGATATGACCCGTATTTCGAATGTATTAAGATACTAAGATTTATTGTATAAAAGTTTATGAATTTCGCTCTTCAAATCTTTTCACTTTATTTGGCAGCTTTTAACAGTCTTACAAAAGAACAACGAGAGAGAAGTTTATAGTTTGATCAAATGATAAGAACGACTTTTGACTTTAGAAGCACTGCTGGAAGTAATATCAAATTTTTAATTTTTTTCAGTTTCCCTGCGGAGTATAGACTGGGAAAGCATCATCTATTTTACCTTGACAGCAGAGCCTGCAGTAGAGTTTGAACAATTGCCTCCTGGAGTGAAAGTTTGTGACACGCCTGCGAAGACCTTGGTGGGAAGTCTTGCACAAAACACGAGATTTGTGTTTACGTCTCCACAGGTCCTTAATAACTCTTTGCTGTTCTTGTAAGTATTCTGTTTCTCATTTCTACTCAAGTATATTACTGGGTGTGGTTCCCAAAAATATTCTAAACGTGTTTCTTGATATTTCGTTAAAATGCTAATTGCTGGGAAGTGAAGTACGTCATTATAATGTTGCAAGAAAAATGAGTAAATATTGTTGTCCAAAGTAATGCAAGCTTTGCTTTACTTTTCATTACAGACACTGATTTAGAGATTGTTATCAACTATTTGATTCCTCCCAGGTTATACCTAAAGTATTTTAGATTTGGTTTTAAAATAAGGCTCAAGTGGTAAATGAGAAGTTCTCACTTCGTGGTAAAGCAAAAATACGTAAAAACTCCAAACATCTCCATTAAAAATTATAAAATACAGTAAAACATAAAAAAAAAAAAAAAAAAAAAAAAAAAAAAAAAAAAAACAAATACAGTAATAATAGTTTAAAAACAATTTTTACAATTAAAATTAGAGTTTCTACGCAGAAACATGCAATTTGGCCAAAGGGAAAGAAGGCAAATTATTCGGTGCACAAAAATGAAAGTTTACCTTTGGACCCACTCGGCAAAAACACATTGAAGGTGCAGAAATCGACTTAATTCACTATTCTACTGAGTTTCAAATGTAAACAAACGGCGGTTAGTTAGGCTTAACTCGCCACATAAAGTTATAAATTGTTGATAATTCTACAATTATTGCATGCAGGTTAACTAAAGGGATGGAAACCTTAAACCGGAACATAAAAACTACTTAACTCAATCACTTTTAAAGCAAAAAATGCACAGTTTACCTACATATAAGAATAAAAAACTAAGATCACTCTGAGTCTGATAAAAGAGAGGGAATAGGACTGGTGCAGTCGATTGTATTGTAAATAGTTGTATTAGTTTGATAGTGTTGGAAATACAAAGTTCTTGTAATATTTTAGATAGCGAAATTTTTGTGTTTATGTTTGCCGAATTTTTTATGATTTTCACAATGATTGGCCAATGACCCACTAAAATGAAAACTTTAAAATACTGTGTTAAATGTTCAAACCTTAATTTCCGTTTTGTAGTTTCTAATTTTCAGTTAGGGGTTTTTTCCATCGTAATTATTCAGATCTCTATCCAGCTACTCAAAGAGAATTATTGAAATTAGTAATTATTTTTTAAATATTTCTTTTGAAAGCTAAAATATACAGTTCAAAAGCATTTACAAGTTATTATATTAAAATAAACAAAATGTGTTTAAAGTTAAAAAGGCTGCTGCCATAATCTTAAACATAGGGTCTTTTAATCTTAAAAGAAATTAAGCTCTGAAGGTAAAATTTCATGGCTCTTCCTAGAGTTGCTCAGAAAAGTTTCATATAAAATATCAAAATCAGTTATGATTTACGATCGCTTTTATTGGCATACACACCTAGAAGCGTTACACAACATTTCGTATGATCGCCCTGTTAATAACGTATTAAAATCTTAAGGGAATAATTTTGTTTCTCGTAAATAAGCTTAGTATTAATGAGGGAAAATAAAGCATATGGAACTGAAGGATACCTTCACCCATGTCAAAGAAAATAATATGTATTTTCAGATAAGAAGAGATGTCTTGGAACAGAAATATCTTTCTAGGTTGAGAGAAGGAAGGCCCCATATAGAGAAAGCTTTCATACATCGTGTTTTCTCGTATAGATGCAGCTGACATTTACGGTAATCTGTGAGGGTACATATCAATGAATGCGACAACTAAGTAGCATTTCAGGTTCTCTTGCACCACAGAATCAACTTATTGATTATCAGAATTTTTGTGTTTGGTTGTATGTGAACATTCTTTTGTTGTTAAGCAAACCGATATTAAAGGTAGTTTAATTATCGGCCTTTCTTGACCTTCTTAAAAGTATTCGGTTAAATAAAACGTTTCCTCATAAAGCAAATTAAATTTTATTAGGAATGTAGTAGGCAGTGAATAATAGGCAGTATTTGTTTAAACTGACACTAAAAAATAGTAACAAGCACATGTAATGCCTAGCATTGTCAAAAGAATCATTCAATACAATGCTTATCAACAGATAATTAAGACACAGAAGTACTTATTTTATTGATAATACCATTAAAATGTATTGCCAAGTTTAAACGAAGTATTTCGCCTAAAAGTGATTTAGGGAAGAATACCGAGTCTCCTGTTATTTCAGAAAAAGTGCATTTTCTTATCGGCTAAAAAAAAAATTATAAAATATTCAGAAGCGAAAGATGTGGGAATGCAACTGATTAGAAATAATAAAAATAAACTATATAGTTTAGTTTTCTTTGGTAGTATAAACTGGTATCCAAACTCGCAACAGACAGAAAGAATCACTACCTTTGAAGGTAACGACAAAGATTTGAGAACACTACAAAATAAATTTTTATTAAATTAGAACTTAGAACATAAATTGCACACCCTGTGTTTAACAGGATCTGCCAGCCACTTGTGGCGATGAAGCTAAAAGTAAGAATACATTTAAAATTTGAAAAGAAATGTAGTAACCAAAGGCAAAACAACTGATTTAACGCAAAGTTGGCTCAAACTTTAAACAAATTAAATGTCGGCAACTGCAAAGCAAAGCCGAAGACTACAATTTTACCTGAGCTAACCTAGTAACGTGGTATTCTGCTAGGGAAACGGAAAAGAGAAGTAATAGTAATAATCTAAATTATATAACTGATTATATAAAATAATGCTATAAAACTTATAAAACCATCAATTATTTTATTGAATGTCTACATTCAATCGAAAATCTGTAATACAGTTGGGACGTTTCCGCCATTTAATGGCAAGATTAGATTTTTAAGTACATTCAGTACATATTGCGCTGTCTCGGTATTGTTGTGTTATTCAAACATTTTGTTAACGCATGTTGCCGTGTGGGGAGCAGACGGGCAATCAATAGTTATCTGTTGCTGATAATCTAAACTGCTAAATTTTAAAGGAATTTGTGTAATTTCCTCTTTTATGTTATTTATCGAAAAATTCAGACACATATTTGATGTTATAAGGTCATTTTTGTACTTGCTGCTGTGCCGAAAACATAAGTTAATTTAACATACATAGCATAAGTTAACGAGAATATAATTTTATATCCTACCCTGTCTGCACTTGACGCAGTCACTTGTTTTGTTAATAGTATTTTTCTCCATTTCTTTCCTAATTTTCACAGTATAAACGTTTGTTAGATAATTTTTTTTGTTACATTTTTTTTATGATTTTATGTAGATAATTTATTACAGTGCTAAACGAAAACCCAAATTCTTAGTCAGCACCAATAGAAATTTTTGCTAGTATTCAAAAATCGTGTTTATTCATGTATAGACATTAAGTATAAACATAAGTATAAGACATCAAGACTCTCAGTAAAAATTCGTTGAAATCAGAAATGTTGGGAAAAGTTACTGATTTAGGTCTAAAAAGTCTTATTTGCTGATTTAAACAAATGTATCCTATTAATAATATTAAAGGATATATGACGTGAGGTTCACTCAAAAACATGTCTTTTCATGAATTCAACAAGCACATTTATGTCATAATTGAAGTAGCCGTGTGACTAAGTATAGCTTGTAAAATCGCGGCATTCTTGTTAGACTGTCTGAAGATCCTCCTTCTGCACATGAAACAGAGTCTATGTAGAGACTTCAGGATAAGCTCTATGCAATTTTACGTAGTAATCGCCTTCTCTGAATCCTGATAATTGCACTAATTTTCACAATGCCTCAGAATTAATTAATTTTTGTGTGCGAGGAGTAATTGCAAAGTTGCTTCAGACTCAATTAATTAAGTAAAGACAGAGAGTGTTTTCTTGCAGAAAGTTACCTTTTCGCAGAGGAGCTTCCATAATAAAAAGTGTGTGTGTGAGTATGGCAAAGCCTCGAGGGCTATCTGCCTTAAGGAAGGGATGCCTTCGTGGAGGACTTTCTAAGGGAAACTGGCTCGTATACACGTTACACATGGGGAAAACCACGAAAACGCCCATGCAGCCAGCCCGTTCGCGGGATTCGAACCTCGGACCGAACTACCAGTGTTCAGCGACTTTACCGCTCTGGGCCGCTGTGAATTATTTGGCGTTCCACATGTAATAAAAAGAACCGTATTTTTATTACATGTGGAACGCCAAATAATTCACAGAATTAAATGATTATTTAAGTTTACTTATGTTATGTATGTTAAATTAACTTATGTTCTCAGCACAGCAGCAAGTACAAAAATGACCTTATAAAATAATTGCATCATCAGCAGACATTTTTCGAGTATGGAATATTCTAGACTTAAAATTGTTAACTAAAGATAATAAAACGATGTTACTCATAGAATAAGACTTTCTACGCCTTTTAGATTCAGGTATTTGCTTTAGTGTTGGCAAGTGAATAAAATAGATTATCTTGAAGAAATCTTACAGAGCTTTCATTTTCTAACTTTAGAGCCCATTATTAAAACAGAGTTCACATTATCTGAAAGATAAGGAATTCGTTTAGGAATGACAGAAACTTTCCCGTGCTTAAGAATGCTCTCACTGTAATGCTACGAGGTTAATTTAATGAGAGGGGGGCTTTCTCAGAAAAACTGACTGTAATATGGTGATAATGAAATAGAAAGTAATGCAATGGTGCACTATAAAGTTATATTTCTTAATAAGAGACATTTACTAAAAGCGTTATTACTTTTATTATGTGTATTATGAGCTTCAATGTGGAATGTCTTAGGTAAGAGGTTTTTTTGTGAAAAAGCGAAAGAACGTGACATCATATTGAGTTCCTTAAAAACATCTTTCCTGTTCTGCCGGCATTTGACTACTAGATTAATAGTTACGCATTTATTTAAGGTGGTAACATTATTCCTTTATGTTCAGTTATGTTTTTCTTATTTAATGATTGACATTTTTCCTGTCAAATATCTGCATTTTTAAAATTTAATTGTTTTTAATAAATGTACTAATTTTATTTAATAACTGAACTAACCGTTCAGTTATTAAATAAAATTAGCAATTAATTAGCAAATGA